TTTGCCATGGATGAATCTAGCATGACAGGAGAGAGCAAAATTGTAAATATTATAATCTGTTAGCTTTATTTACTTATTTTATTTGTTTCCCCTTTGCATGCTTAAGAATTTTCATTGCCATCTTTTCCAGGTCAACAAAAATTCCAAGGAACCATTTCTTATGTCTGGCTGCAAAGTCGCTGATGGCAGTGGAACTATGCTGGTGACATAAGTTCTTTTATTTACTTTCCTGCTCCATTCGTTTGCATTACGATTTGAACATACTCTTCTGCAGTTCTATTTTTCATCAAGAATTAAGTATCTTTTAACGTGTGATTGCATGAACATGAATTAATTTGAAATTATTGAATGGTTGGAAATTTCTATTTGTTTGCTTATCTGGTTTGGCCTTCACCTGCTATTAACTGACCTCTTCTCCCCTCTTCCCTACCCTCCTCTCCCCCTTCATTCCCAATCCACAATCAGGTAACCAGTGTCGGGATTAATACTGAGTGGGGATTGCTTATGGCAAGTCTTTCTGAGGATAATGGTGAAGAAACACCATTACAGGTTATTATTTTTGCTCAATGGTGATTTATGGAAATTACATTTTTAGATGTTATGTTTATCTGTAATGTACTTTTATAGGTACGCTTAAATGGTGTTGCAACTTTCATTGGTATTGTTGGGCTCACTGTAGCTTTTGTTGTCTTGGTCGTCCTTTTGGCCAGGTATTCTAATCTCACCTATAATTTAATCAGGTTTAGTCAGGTATTCTGATCTTGGCCTAATGTCCAGACTGACTTTTAAAATTTGATCTTGTGTAGGTACTTTACTGGCCATGAAAAAAATGCTGATGGAACTGCACAGTTCATCGCAGGCCAAACTAAAGTTGGAGAAGCTATAGATGGAGTCATTAAAATTATTACTATTGCTGTATGTGCATCTTCCTTCTGTTTCTATTTCATGTTTGTACATGAACTCTTATCTTGTATTTGTATCTGTGGCTAATGCTTGATTCTTCTAGGTTGCTATTGTGGTTGTTGCAGTCCCCGAAGGGCTTCCCTTAGCTGTTACTTTAACGTAAGTTTGTTCCTCTTTAAGAAATTATTTTAAATTTCTAGTGCTCTACGCATGAGCTCATCTTGGTATCACATTTTTTGTCCAATCCTTTCCTCCCATCGCGGTGGATTCTTTTATTGAACAGACTATTAATTAATTTTTCATCTGATAGATTCTGTATCTTCTGATTGTTATTTAATTTGTCACTTGTGTTCATGATTATAAATGTTCATTTGCATATTCTCTCTAGATATTCCTTCTTCTTCTGGTTCTTCTCTGATGTAATTATGATGTAGGCTTGCTTACTCAATGAGGAAAATGATGGCAGATAAAGCTCTGGTACACTTTATGAAGTTCTCTTGCTTCGCTTGCTATTCTATTGGTATTATGCAAATACGCTGAATGAATGGAATGAAGTAAGCTTATGCAAGTTGAAATGCAGGTACGTAGGCTCTCCGCTTGTGAGACCATGGGTTCTGTAACAACAATTTGCAGTGACAAGACTGGAACCTTAACTTTGAATCAGGCAAGCTTAGTCGCCATTTCTTCTCAATATATGTTAACTTCTTCTTCTTCTTCCTTCCTCTATATATATATATATATATATATATATATTATATGAGTTAGGATACACTTACACGCAAGTTTTACATATTACACTTACACAAAATCTTAATTATTCATCTCTTCACTTTCAATTGTTGAGATTTATCACCCACTTCTTAGATGAAAAGGATAATTATGACAATCATTTAAAAAATGGTGATAAGTCTTGATGCATTAAAATCACCCTAGCAAATGTATTAGTCGTTTCAAGTAATATAATAATGAGAAAAGTGTCAAACCTACGAAAATTGTGTTTAACTAAGTATCAAAATAATTAATCTAAATTTATTTGAACAATCGAAAAGAAAGAAAGTTTAATTAAAAAAAATAACAATTAAAATAAAACTAACCAAAATATGAAGTACTAAAGCATCGATTTCACTGTAATCAATTAATATAAATTGTAGATTATCAAATTGTTGGGTATTATTGCATGTGATGGCGAATTTCCCTAAATTAATTAACTAGTTTTCTCAAGTTAAGTTAATCATTTACTTGCTTGTTAGATTAATCATATTTTTATGTAATTTTAAATAAACTAATGAACATTAAATTTTATGGAAATCTCTAGCTTAGAAAGAGGAGTTCCTAACTCTCTTTTTCTCTACTACCACATGGGAGTTAATTATTTTTCGGTCTCATAGTTTAACACGGTTTATATTATTATTGAATTAATTTACGTAATTTTTTCTCAAATTTATGTAAAAATCACTAAATCAATTGAAAAATGATCAAACTTTCAATGTATTAAATTCAATAATATAAACTTTTCATGCAAATAACTTTAAGTGAAAGTATAAAAATCACAAAATTTATATTAAATTGATTAGGTTATATCATAACTTTAATAAAATAAATTAGTTCATAATAAAAATAATAGAATCTAAAATTATAGTTACGAAGGTAAGAATATTTAAAAAAAATCAAAACCTAATTTGAAACAATTGAAATCTTTGATATTTTATTGATGATGGATCATTTATTTTGATTTTCAAGAATAGGGCTGCTATCAGTCTCTTCCCAAGCTTTCTCAATTCTAAATTTGGATAGATATTTATAAGAATTTAGAACTCTAATTAGAATAGAAGTAGGATCTACACCTATATAACCAATTATACACGGATTTTATGTAAATTGCGTAAGGGATCAACACCTTCAACGAGGTGCCGACACTTTCTGTTCAGCCTACAAAGCATCACCATGTCGGGTTTTTGGCCTTCTTAACAATTTCTGTAATGGTAAAATAACAGTCCTGGTCCCTAACTTCTAGATTCTGCACAAGTTGATTCTTAAATTTCTGATCTCTGCAATTTACTTCTAAAAATTATGATTTTTTCCAATTAAGTCCTTTCCTACACAAAGAATAAAAATTATGTAAAATCAAGTAAAATCTCTTAAAACTCATCCAAATATCAACAATATCAAGGCAACAATTTCACATTAACATGTATATAAATTCATCTCATCAAATCTCAACCATTCAAAGTGGAGAGATGAATGATCAAGATTTTGTGTAAGTATAATGTGTCAGACTTATGTGTGACTATATCCCTACTCATATTTATGTTGACAATCATTTTTGTAGTACCCTTAAGGCCTTTACTAGTTGCTGGTGGGTATCAGTTGAAGTCTTTCTCTCTGGTAATCGTGAAGGTTATCTTCTTTGCAGATGACTGTAGTTGAGGCTTATGTTGGTGGGGAGAAAATTGATCCACCTGACAGCAGCTCACAATTATCTCAGACACTAACCTCATTACTTATTGAAGGCATTGTACAGAATTCGAATGGTAGTGTTTTCACACCAGAGGTAAGTATTGGATTGGATTATTATTGAATCATGTTCTATAACCAAAGATTTTAATGAATCACCTCTGTATATTGTTATAACAATGTTCTCATTGATCTTTTCCTAGGGTGATGGAGACGTGGAGGTTTCTGGATCACCAACTGAGAAGGCAATTCTTAATTGGGGAATCAAGGTTATATTTTTTACTTCATCTCTCTTGCAACCCACCAGGTGGGTCTATAGTCTTGTAACTCATCTAGTTTTAAAATTTAATTGCAGCTTGGTATGAAATTTGATGCTGTTAGATCAGAATCATCTATCATTCATGTTGTCCCATTCAACTCAGAGAAAAAACGAGGCGGTGTTGCAATAATATCGGTAATGTGACTTATAGTAGTCTTTCATGAGTGATTTTCGCATTGATGCTTTTACTTAGAAGTCTTGATTGCATTGTAAGTGCCCTTTGTTGTCAGTCTGCGTCCAGGTTTTATCTATATGATCTATTTGACTTAAAAATTTCTTTTAGTCGTTTAGAAAATGTTAACTTCTTAACAAATGATAGTGATTTTGTTGATCAACTGTAAAAATGACAAAATTAGCATTTAAGAATTACAGCAGTCAGCAAAATAGCAAAAATAACTGCATCAATTTTAAAACATTACTGAGATTATGGCCTAGAGATAAAATATGTTGAGATTAATTGAATATATTGTGTGCCTCCTGTGGCCATGTCACGCCCTAGAACCCAAATCCGAGGACGTGGCAGACGCCGTGCACTCTTGAGAGGGTCCCACAAATGCACAAGGCTCAGAACTTATTCAAATCACAACATCTCAAGAAAGAAGGAGAAAGAAGGAGATTCTAAGCCCCAAATCATGTGATTGAACAAGAAAGAAGGAGAAATTTCAAGCCTTTTTACCGGTTTTCAAAGGAGGAGGAAGTCGGTGGCTTGGGGGGGGGGGCTGTCGGGAGCTGCAGAATGAAGAAGAAAAGCAGGACACGCGGCTGAGGAAGAAAGAAAGAAGAAAAAAAAAATCCCAGCCGATCCTTATCCAAATTTTCCTCTTTTAAGTCCCTCAACTTTTGAAATTTGACTATTAAGCCCCAAAACAATATTTTTCCTCAAATAAGTCCCCTAACTGAATTGATAAAATTCCCAAAATTTTGGGATATTACAGGCCATTTCAAGTTCTAGGCCTAACTGATATATATGCTACTTGAACTGGCTGAAAATTACCTTTTTGTGGA